AAAAAAAAAAAAATGTGCATACCGTTTTATTCTGAAGTAAACTTTGTAACGCTGCATTTGTGTATTTTTTTAAATTTTATCCGATTAATCGAAAAAATTATCGGCCAACTAATCGATTATGAAAACAATAATTAGCTGCAGCCCTATAACCAACACATATGAAACTGATGATCATTAGCACCTGCTTGGCAATATTGGTTAATCATACACCTGACTCTAATCCTACAAAATCCCTGACTTTGTGCATGTGTAATGCTGGGCACACACCTTACAACTTTTGTCTTGCGATGGTTGTAAGGTACTTAAAAAACGTACAATCTGCCTATCTTGGACAGGCAGATCGTACTTGCGATGATCGCAAGCCGCGCCCCCCTGAGGGGCGGACTTCCGATGACCGCAATGCCAAACGAGCAGTGTGCGCTTGCGCCCACCGGTTGGTATAGTGCGGTCCTAACTCTAAACTATGAGAGTCTCCATCTTGGAGCACATGGGGGCAGAAGATTTCAAATTGGGTGCAGGTTTGTCAGGAGTAAGCCCAACCTCCTTAAAGGCACAGGAACACACAAGGGCTCCCGCACATCCCAATGGCAGCTGAGAACCCTCATGCGTCACTGCACCAAATCGGTCAAGCAAAACAACTATACAGTAAGGTTTGTTCGAAGCCCATTTCGTGTGCACCTTACTGTATAGTTGGTGACAAATTGTTGAGTGCGTTTGTCATTTGTTTTGCTTGACCGATTTGGTGCAGTGACGCATGGGGGTTCTCAGCTGCCATTGGGATGTGCGGGATCCCTTGTGTGTTCCTGTGCCTTTTTTAAGGAGGTTGGGCTTCCACCTGACAAACCTGCACCCAATTTGAAATCTTCTGCCCCCATGTACTCCAAGATGGGGACTCTCATAGTTTAGAGTTAGGACCGCACTAAAAGAGGTGCCTTGGCACGGCTGTGCGGCTTTCACATTTTCTTCAGAAGACGTGTATCCAAACCTCTGTTATTAACCTTAGTGGTGAGACAAGTTTTTTTTACATGTTGACTTGTGAGTGTGCCATGATGCCTTTCTACTGCTTACAGTAGTAGAGGTCGCACGGCTTCCACACACCTTACAATGATCGTACGATTTCCCGCGATTATCGTACGATTTCCCGCGATTATCGCAAGGTGTGTGGGGACCTTAAAGGTGCCCATACACCTTACAATTATCTGCAGATTTTCTGTGGTCAGGTGAAAAAATGTGCAACAGATTTGCTCAGGTGGCGAGTACTCCATCCACACAGTGAATTGTAGATGGAGGAATCTGTTGCACATTTTCCATCTGACAACAGAAAATCTGCAGATAATTGTAAGGTGTATGGCTCAATTTGCATTTTGTAAATTTGAATTTACAAAACTTTAGGAAGCAAAAGATCGAAAACGAAACCTATATGGCTTAATAAAACTGTAAAACAATACGTTAAGGACAAGAGAGCGGCATTTATAAAATATAAGACGGAGGGGATGGCATTGGCGTTCTTTAACTACAAAGAATGTAACAAAAAATGCAAACTAGAAATCCGGGTAGCTAAAACTGAGTGCGAAAAGCATATCGCCGCAGATAGTAAAAAGAACCCCAAAAAATTCTACCAATATATTAACAGTAAAAAGGTGAGAAAGGAGCAGATAGGCCCAAAAAAGGACGCAAGCGGGAAACTAGAAATGGAGAAAGATTTGGGGGTCATTGTAGACCACAAACTGAAAGGTAGCTTGCAGTGCCAGGCTGCTGTAAACAAAGCTAGCAGGGTTTTGTCCTGCATCAAAAAGGGTATCTATTGCAGGGACGAGTCTATAATTTTGCCACTTTATAGATCATTGGTTCGACCTCATCTGGAGTACGCGGTCCAGTACTAAAAAGATGTCCTTTAGCTGGAAAAAGTCCAGCGGAGGGCAACCAAACTAATTAGGGGTATGGAGGACCAGAGCTACGAGACAAGGCTACTAAATTTAAACATGTTCACATTAGAGGTGAGGAGATTAAGCAGGGATATGATCTCCATGTACAAAATGTTCAATGGTGACAGCAACATTGGCGATAAACTATTTAAAATTAACTCCGTTACAAAAATAGGGACCACCACCTAAAATTGGTGGAAAAAAAATTCCAGCACAAGGGGCGAAGGGGGTTCTTCACAGTTAGAGCGGTTAAGGTCTGGAACTCACTGCCACAGGCAGTGATTTCAGCAAAAAACGTGGAATTGTTCAAGAAACTTTTGGACGATTTTTTAAGGGACAGTAATATACAGGGGTACAAGACAAGTACTTTTAAAAACGAGATCCTATAGGTTGGACTTGATGGACTAATGTCTTTATTCAACCTCAAATACTATGTAACTATGAATAAAAAATATGTATTTTTGTAAGAATTCTTACTTGACAGCATTTTTTCACACCTGCTTAAAACGTTTGCACAGTACTACGTGTGTATGTATATATATATTTTATCTCTGTTTGGCCTTGGAGTGGGTTTTCACACTGCAGCTAAAGAAAGGGAAGTGATCAAGAGCAGGGTGTTTGCATTGAAACTGAATACCATGGTGGTGGTGTATGTTGGTCATCAAGAAGACACCAAAAGGCTAGCTTCAATTGGGCAGAAAAGCATGTTATGGTGTTGTCAGAAGTTCACCTTTCTGGTCTGAAAAATTGGCAAGCAGACTTTCTCAGCCATCAATACTTTTGATCACAGGAAATGGTTTTGCCAAATCTGCCACACCCAGTGGAGGGTGTGGCAGGTGCTCAGGTGACTGTAGGATCACTACTTTGTGTGTTTTTTTTTTTTTATTATAATAATAATTGACCTTCTGTTGTCAGAATTCCCAAACAGTGCTTGCAGCTGTCTACCTACAAGCACTGTTCAGATGCCAATTTTCGATCCTATCCCGTCTACAAAAATTAATCTATTGATTTGACTTGTGATCGAATTATAGCTGATTTCTACTGAAATGGCCGAAATCTGATCCATGTATACCCAATTCTAGTTTACGAACACCTCCACACTCCGCACCACCATTACATAAACGGGCGTTGCTTTGTAGTTTCACAGAAAAGAAGCTGAGAAAGCTGATCACGTTGTTTCGAGTTCTCAGTTCTTCTTCTTTTGTCTTCTTCTTTCTTCCTTTCCTTTTCTTTTTCCTCCTTTCTTTTTCCTTCTGTTCACCAAACCAATCATGGGAAAAAGCAAATTCATGTTTTCTCATCTGATCTGCACAACTGGATAAATAGAAGTGAATATTCACACTGTTTATCATTTTAAGAGTCAACTCCTTTAGTAAATCAGCCCATTTATATCCATAACCTAGATAGAAGCATAACCAATGTACTGAATAGGCCGTGCAGTATCCTTCAATTAAAATAGGAGAAAAGTGTGTTGGCTTTTTTTTTTTTTTTGCATTTTAGCAAAACCACATAACTGCTGTTGATCTTATTTTGCAGCGATCGTGGAAAAAGTAAGAGAGATATCCCACCCAGACTGGAAATTGCCTCCTGAAGCAACAATTGTTTTAACTGGAGACAACTTTAATGAAGTTGTGGACAATGCAGATATTATTCTAGTCGAATTTTATGCACCCTGGTAAGATGTAAAGTAATACAATATATACACAGTCTTATACTCAATTTAATTGTAACAACATGTGTGATTCTTCTTTCCTATAAATCTGGTCAGCTTACATTCTAACCCAATGTCATTTGTTTAACCTATGTATCAGTTTTATAGCAGTGTTATTCTTAAGGGAATGCATCCCTCATTCCCTTCGAAGTTTATATTTAATTTTTTTATTTTATTATATTATTTTATCAATTGAACTTACAGGCCTGTTCACACCATAGCGTTGTGTTAATTCTCTGGTTGAACACCCCCTGGCCTGTGGGTGTAGTTGCTAAGAGGAGCTGAAGAAAAGTATTGGGTTTTTTTGTTTTCGTTGTTTGGTTGTTGCTGTTTGTTTTGACACTACTACAAAAACTAGTGATGCACCAATACCGTAAAAATGCCCTGATACTAAGCAACGATATTGGTGCTTTACATTTTTAAACCAAAGGTGGCACTGTAAACAGGTGCCGCACTTCACCGGATGGTTGCCAAGGTCCCCGACAGCCTTCCTGTGAATTGCCGGCCTAAAATCTCCATGCCACTGCCTTCGAGACTGACCGGGAAACCTGGTGAGAGGCAGCCCAGCATAGAGACTGCACAGCCACCATAGACCCCCTCAGAGCCCACACTAGGCCCCCGCACAGCCACTTGAGAGCCTACACGGCACACCATAGACGCCGCACAGCCACCTGAGATCCTCTGCTGGAGACATCAAGCTGGCACCCTGGAGCACCACAGAGTATGTAGCTTCATATTATTCTGCATTAATGTATAATGCTTTGCTGGGATTTGTAGTCCTCCATAGCGGATGGTATTCTGCATTGCTGTATAATGTATTGCTACAATTTGTAGTCCCTCTACAGCTTAGGGGCTGGGATGAGGAAAGGACCGCCACGTTAGTATTTTCTGATACTGCCTGTGCCACGAGCCACTCCAGAGAGACAGCGAGAGTTGAGGGAACTTAACAAGTGGCTCCGGAGCTGGTGTCGGAAAGAGGGCTTTGGTTTCCTGGAGAACTGGATTGACTTTTCAGTTGGTTACCGGCTCTTCAGCCGAGACGGGCTGCATCGTAATGGGGGAAGGTGCAGCACTTTTGGGGGAATTCGAGGCGGGCAGTTTTCTGAACCTGTTGTGGGACAATTTCATGAATCAGATGGTTGAGGATCCAACTACGAAAAATGCCATCCTAGATTTAATCATTTCCAATAATGCGGAGTTAGATCGGGGAGAAACTGGGAAACTGATCACAATGTGATTACTTTTAATATTGAATTAGTAAAGATTGTCACCAGCACACTACAGAGATTTACAGCAAAAAGTCAATTAATGACAGATTGCCATTCAGTACATCAGGCTCATTCTGAGCCTGATGAAGGGATACTTTTGAGACCCTGAAAGCGCTTGTACTGAATGGCAATCTGTCATTAAAGGACTTTATGCTGTGACTATCTGTGGTGTGCTGGTGACAATCTTTACTAACTCTATTGTTCACGGTGCCGTCCGTGGTCGCTACAAGAACCCACCTGCTTCACAGGTTTACTATTTTTCCGGTAAGGAGTGCAGCTGTTTTCCTACTATATTGTACTTTTGATATTGTGTACAGAAAGGAGAAGTGTTTGGGTCGGACAAGAACACTTAACTTCAGAAGGGCCAACTTTGATAAGCTGCACCAGCTAGTATCCGACACCGAATGGGACAACTTATTTCGCACACTGACGAAAAGTGGGATTGTTTTGAGCATAAAGTGCATTTTGCTATCACCAGTGTATACCATTGGGGAACAAAAATAAAAGCTCAATAACTAAGTCTGCCTGGCTAAATAAAAAAAGTGAGGCATTTAAAATGAAGATAAGAATGCGAGCAGCTCATTGCAAATTATACCTCCAGTGGTTGATGGTAGCCGGGGTTCAACAAAGACTTGAAAAACATAATGCAAATAAAGCATTAGGGCCAGATGACCTGCACCCCAAGGTACTTAAAGAACTCAGCCAGGTTATAGCGATACCATTTTTCCTGATTTTCAAGGACTCCATAATGACTGGTAGAGTACCAAGTGACTGGCGGAAGGCTACGGTAGTACCGATATTCAAAAAAAGAGTCAAGATGCCAATCTGGGAACCGTCAGTCTAACATCAATAGTATGCATACTGCTAGAGGGAATGATAAAGGGCTACTTAGTAGAGTTTGTTCATGAGAATGGTATAATAAATGATCAGCATGGATTTGGAAGGACCGTTCCTGCCAGACCAACCTACTAAGATTCTACAAGGTGGTAAGTAGAGACCTGGATGGAGGGAGGTTGGTGGATGTGATATATCGGGATTTTTCAAAAGCGTTTGACACCGTACCGCATAAACGCTTACTACACAAACTGATGTCTATGGGCATTGATGAAATAGTGTGTACATGGATAGAGAACTGGCTACATGAACGTGTCCAGAGAGTATCGATAAACGGCTCCTTCTCAGATTGGTCTAAGGTTGGGAGTGGCGTGCCCCAGGGTTCTGTGCAATGCCCCATATTATTCAACCTGTTTATTAATGACATTGGGGAGGGCGTTAATAGCCGTGTTTGCTGATGACCCTAAAATTGGGAGGGTAATGGACACGGGACTTAGACACTAACATTACAGGAGGACCTGGATAAAATCGGGGGTGGGCAACTATTTGGCAGATGAGGTTTAATGTCAAAAAATGTTAAGTAATGCACTTTGGGGTTAAAAATAGGCAAGCGGAATACACATTAATGGGAACTCCACTAGGGAAGTCAGAAATGGAAAAGGATCTGGGGGTCATTGTAGACTGCAGATTGAATAATAGCTTGCAATGCTAGGCTGCTGCAAATAAAGCGAGCAGAGTACTGTCTTGTATTAAAAAGGGAATGTACTGTAGAGACAAATCTATAATTTTGCCACTTTTATAGATCGCTGGTTCGCGCATCGAGTATGCGGTCCAGTTTTGGTCACCAATACTCAGAAAGGACGTTCTTAAGCTGGAGAGAGTCCAGAGAAGGGCAACTAAACTAAGGGGATGTAGGACCAAAGCTATGAGACAAGGTTACTAAATGTAAAACTGTTCACGCTGGAAGCCAGGAGATTAAGGGGGGACATGATTTTGGTTTACAAGATGTTCAATGGTGATGGCAACATCAGCAATAAACCTTTTACAGCAAACTCCCTAAGAAAGACTAGAGGCCACCACCTAAAATTGGTGGAGAAAAGATTTAACCACAAGGGGCGTAGGGGCTTCTCAGTTAGGGTCTGGAACTCACTGCCACAAGCAGTGGTATCAGCTGAGAGCGTTGAAACATTCAAAAAGCATTTGGACAATTTCCTCCGAGGCCGTAACATACAGGGCTACAGGTACCCGTAGAAAGGAAAAGGGAAGAAAAAAAAATCACACAAGGACCCATACACACGCATGCAGAATCCCATACATACACGCAAAAAAAGGTTGAACTTGATTGAGGTTTTCTTTATTCAACCTCAAATACTATGTAACTATGTAGCTTGCAGTCAGTGGCAGAACTGCCAGGGGTGTAGTGTTTTCAGCTGGGATAGGGCCCTGGCGCCCCACCTCTAGTGAGAGCCAAGATTGGAAAAGCCCTGATGGGTGTCTCTGTACCTACTTAGTAAGGATTTTGTTCATTAGTGGTCGATTTGCTGCCATGCCTCACCCTAACAGACTACCATGTCAGTGGTGTCTTTAGGAACCACAGCGATAACTGGATTGAAGCCCTTTCCAGGACTGTGTTCTCTTTTACTGGTCCCGTTTTACACCCCGTTTTTAGCTGTACTCTTCTTTGGCAAAACATGTCTGATTGGTCCAAATCCCTTGAAAGGGATCTAATCACTGATGTAATTGACCTTCAGATCACTGAGCACATGGAGCACATGTGGAAATAAACATTAGTTGCAATGGCCTGTTATAAGCTTCCCAACTGATGCTGGGCTATGATCAGTAAATATGGGCAGGGCCCTTTATCTAAAATGTTGGACAGTGGGTTTGTCTTCAAAGAAGTATTTAATCTCCAAGGGCTCTTTGGACTGGCTCGGGATGCTGTCATCAAGGTTGCTGCGGGGGTAGAAGCACTCCTCTCCTCCAGCAGACCCACAGCCTGGGTTCATAAGGTGGTGTCACAGGGTTACAAACGTTTCCTTCCCTGCCCCATCCTCAGTTTGTTAACTCAATCCTTCTGAGTCCGTAAGCATCTTGCCGATCTCCAGTCACTGCTGTATTACGGGGTCACAGATAGAGTCCCTGCTGCAGTACCAATTATGGGGGGGGGGGGGGGCATTGGTGTTCATGCCAATCTGTTCATTGTCTAAAACCTAAGGGGCCTTATAATAGGGATATAAAGGCCTTAAAGTGACATTAAAGTCTACATTTTTTCCCTCTCCCCTAAGTTATTGTCAGCACTTACCCTAAATTATGTTTCTTAATCCGATCTTCGCACATTTCGTTTTCATCTGGCCCTCCAGCGCTGCGGCATGTCTCCGATCCAGCGCTGACTCCTCTGTCCTTGCTGGCACTTCCTGCCCCACGGTGTCTGCATGCGGGTGCACGCGTCCATAGGCTTGCCTTGTGTCTCTCCTTGCGTCCTGGCCGAAAATGTGATCTGCGCATGCGCCCGCCCCAAGATGCTTTGCGGCCGCCCGAGAATTTTCACATTTTCGGACGGGAGCACGCGGGGAAGACGCAGGTAAGTTTTTTTTTTTTTTAAAGCGGGTTTTTTTTTTGCATGTATCTATTGTAGATCTATGCAAAAACACCCAGGGCTTTAATTATGCTTTTAAGTATTTTTTGGATTCAGCGGACATAAAAGATGCCTTCTTACATGTGGCCATCCTTCCAGCTCACCACATTTTCATGTGTTTTGCTGCCTTTTTTGTTTTGCCAGGCAAAATCTTAAAACTATTTGTTGTCTTATTCTTGCAGTAAAGCCCAAAGGAAACTAATCCCAATAGTATTTAACGTACAGTACTTAACTATTCAAAAAATGCTGCATGCGCATGTTACTTTGTTACAGGAAAAGCAATACAAAAGAAAATACATAAACATGAAGGCTGCAACAATTTTCATTTTCCTACACACAGGTATCCACTAATCTTTCCTTTCTAGTACATGGAATGGTTTCTGTAAGAGGATACACTAAAAGTTACTTGGCTTTGAATTGCTGCTTCACAAATTCTGTAAAGGACAGGACTTTGTGGCGATTTTAAATGTTCTCAGGAAAACTGCTTCTTGCCATGGCTTAGTGTCCTCCATCTGAAGTCCATCTGGTCCCAGTAGTTCCTCCGTGAAGAAGTCCCCGTCACAGTAGTATTTCAGTGAAAAAGTCCCAACTGGAAGGCTTTTTTGCTTTTTATTCAAATTTTCCCATTCACTTCATATGAAGAATTTTTCTCTCGACAGTGTTTTGGATGGCAACTAAAATCGCTTTGAAGCAGACAAACAAAATGTACTTCTTCCTCTGAGAACTGTTTTTATCTACATATGTTCTTCCCGAGTCAACAATAGCCCTAACATTCCCGCAGCATCACCTGCGCTTACAGTTCCTAGGATATCCATTGATCTCGGGAAGAGATTACACACGCACACGCAATACCCCTTTGCACTTCCAGTTTGTGACCCTTTCATTAGGTCTGTCTTCTGTACCTTGGGTGTTTACAAAGGTGCTGGCTCCAGTGTTGGCCTTGTTGTATTCAATATGCATTCATATTATGGGATACTTGGAAAAACTTTTTGGTGAGGGAACGGTCATTGAAGGCTCTGGAGAACGATGTGCCTCTGATTTTCCAGGCATTGCAGATTTTCAGGTATTGCAGATTTTTCAGGTGTATCTTGACCCTTCAGAAATCGTTGCTGGTTCTGACTCATTGCTTGGAATATCTGGGACTGGTCCTGCACACTTCCCAAGGTCAGAGTGCTGCTTCTGCATGAAGGACTTTGGGCTGATGGTGGCCTGTTTTTGAGGCGGCTATTTGACCAATTTAACGCAACACAACTTCCTGTCCTATTGGGACAAGTCGGTCCTGTGTCTGGACAAACAGATGGCTGTCTCTGTGTCGGTGGCTCTGAAGTCCAACATTCACTGGCGTATGTTGTTTTTTTCCCCTGTGTTCTGGAAGAGCTTGATGAACACCAACCTGTCAGGCTGAGTTGAGTTCTGGGCACCTGTGCATGGGGAATTGCTCATCGGAGAAATCTCGTCTCGTACTGAATATCTTGGAACTTTGAGTGACCTGGCTGTCCGTTCAGCGATGGAGCTACCTGCTGGAATGCCATCCGATTCAGATCCAGTCGGCTATGCCATAGTGGTGTTGTAGTCATCACTGAGAAACTAGATGTCTTGCTGCGTTGTAAGGTAGAGCAGATAATTTCCTGGACATAACTGTGTTCCAGCCTTGTCAGCCATTTACATTGCATAGACAATTCTAAGGCAGATTCCCCCAGACAGCAAGTGAAAAATTGAAGGGGCAGTCCAGATGACAAGCGCTCTGACGAGGGTGTTCATACACCAATTGTTTGTGGGCAAGGTGTGAAGGTGGTGTGCAGCTTCCTGATAGTACGGACCGGGGTGTCCGACTCATGTAATTGTAAACAAAAAGGAGGGAAGTGCCACGACCAGGGAGAGAAATTGATGTGGACCAATGAATGTAGCCTGGTTAGTTGTTTGGGTGGTCTGACTTGCTTGACGGTGAAGTGGAGGCGAACAGGTGTGGTCCTTCCCGGTTTGAGTGGTGGGAGGTCACCGGGAACACAAGCGGAGAACCATAGAGGTGAGAAATGGCACACAATGGATTCAAGGTGTGGAGTGTAGAGACTCACCATTTTGGTAAGGGTAGAAGCCATGTCATCGGCAAAGATCCAGGGGTCCTGTGTGGTTGGATGAGGCTTGGGAAGGCTGATTGGTCTGGGAGGAGGAGGTGTCCATCGGGGGCCGTGATGGCTCAGGAGAACAGTCGTGCTGTGCTTGGGTGCGTGTGCCAAGGGCTGATGGGAACTGGTGAACCTAATCCGAACAGCCATTGATGCTGCCATGGGGAACCTTTGCTGGGGAACGGGATGTGAAAATGACAAACTGCTGTGAGACCTCGAGAGGGCAAGGAGGGAGCTGGAGAGTAGCGGTTTGTGTTCTCTCATAACAAGCACACCACCACTCCTCCAGCTCCCTCCTTGCCGACATTTTGTTTTTCCCTGCCTCCTGTCAAATCCTTCTGTAGGTGCCAGTATAACCTGAAGGTTAAGACTTTTTCAGTGGTGTGTTTATGTAAAAATAAATGCTAACGCTAGAAGGGCTATTTTTTGTTTCTACGCATCAGTTTTGGGTGGCTGTATAACTTTTTTTGTATCCTTTTTTGTAGATGTGACATTCAGGGTATACTTAGTAATTATTTACTGTTGGTATCTTGCATGTTATTATTTAGGTGTGGACATTGTAAGAAGCTTGCCCCTGAATATGAGAAAGCTGCACAGGAATTAAGTAAGCGCACACCAGCTATAACTTTGGCAAAGGTTGATGCTACAGTTGAAACAGAACTCGCAAAGAGCTATAAGGTAACGGGATACCCCACACTGAAGATTTTTCGCAAGGGCAAAGCATTTGATTACAATGGGCCTAGAGAAAAATACGGTAAATATTTGTAAATTTGGTACAAAGGCTTTACTTTTCAGTTACCATTTTTTTTTGTGTTTTTTGTTCTTATACCATTAGTGCAAATTTATTTATGCTACTGCTTCAATTAGCTTTCAAAAAATGAAACAAAAAATTGCAGTCAAGCTTGAAATGGCGTAAGTGTGTATAGAATGTTGTTTAATGCGTGCTTACACTAAATATTTATCAGTCTTATAGCCCAACTTTTGTAAGGTATTTTTTTTTGTAATAAAAGATTAGATGCCAAAATTGCTGCCAGCAGTCACCCTATTCACTACATTCCCCAGGTGAAAAACCTATACCATGACATTCTGCTACATTCCCCAGGTGAAAAACCTATACCATGACATTCTGCAACATCTATTCTCATTAGGGACAGGTACTTGCTGTAATACCCACTGTGTTTTTTTTGACTTTTTTTGACTTTTTTTGTTTAGCAGTAAACAAAATACATGCACAAAACATCAAATCACACTAGGCAGTAAACACAGCAGTATCTTTTTACTCACCATGTTTTATAAGATGTTAATGTGTTTTTGGATGGGACACTTGGCGCCGCGGTGATCGTTCGCTTCTGTTCTCTTCGGCCGCTCTGTAGCTGCAGCAGCCGAGATAGAGAAGTAAGAACAGAAGCGAGCGACAACCGCGCCGCTAGTGTCCCATTCCTGGTCCCGCCAGCGGCGCACCCCCTTGCTGGCTATTGCACCCGCCCTCTGCTGCTGTCAATCACTGGAAGAGGACCTGATGGAGAACTTCAGGTCCCCCACTGCTGATTGCCAGTAGCAGTGGGCGGGTGCAATAGCTAGTTTGCTATTGGCTATTGCAAAGTGAAATAGCCAATTGGAATATAGCTATGAATTCCTATGCTGTTGTTGGGTTTTTTTTTTCTGACGGCGGCCGGCGGCTCCGATGTCGGAAAGAAAAGAAAAAACCAGAGCAGGGGAGAGGTTTACTCTCCCGGGTGGCCCGGGAGCCGCTATCTAATAGCGGGAGACTCCCGGAGAGTTGGTATGTCTTTAGACGACCCCTGGCAAATCGCCATTAGACCCCTGATGGGGTCGCGACCCACAGGTTGAGAACCGCTGCTCTAAATTGTTCTCCGAGCTGTTTTGGAGATCAACAGGTATCTCGAGCGGTAGCGGTGGAATCGTTTGAAGTGGAGGTGTAATGGGGGGAAAAGAATTGCAAGCTGGAAAATACATGCTGCACTAAGCGTTATATGACTGTCTTGTAAAAGAGGTCATAGGGTTCTGGTCAGTGTGCATTATTGGCAGTAGTTCACATGTGGTGAATTGGAGAGCACTGGGGCACAGGACACAAAAAATTGGATATTGCGGTTTTAGATCATAAGCATTGGGATATCAGTGAATAGACTTTTTTTCTAGAGGTGCACCGAAATGAAAATTTCAAAACCAAAATGAAAAAAAAAATGTCAGGCCGAAACCGAAGTTTTTTTAATTCCAACTTTTTTCTAAACAGACCCCTGATATTTCCCTTTTAAAATAGAAAAAGAAATTGAGGACACGGAGTCCTCAATCTCTTTTTCTGCAGCCCCTGTTATAAATTAACAGGAAGCCTCTATACTGAGTGTTCCTGTTCATTCATCACTTGTGGACATAGTATGTTTACTATATCCACAATCATGAATAAACAGGAAGTGATGTATATCACTCCCATTCATTCATAATTGAGGACACCTTAAACATACTATGTCCTCCATTATTTACAAACACTCAGCGATCCCTGATTGCTGAGTGTTTGTACCTGCTCTCCATCCTGACTGGCTGCCACAGGAGGGTGGGGCGGTGCGGGAGGAGAGCTCGACCTCCTGTGACAGCAATGACAGCTGTCTCTGCCCACACAGCTGCTCTCCATCATGACACGCTGTCACAGGAGGCTGGGCGGTGCGGGAGGAGAACTCGTCCTCTTGTGACGGCAATGGCTGTCTCTGCCCACACCGCCCTCCAGATCTGTGACAGGAGGCTGAGTGGTGCGGGGGGGGGGGGGGGGAGGC